TTATAACCCAATGATTCAATCATATTTCCATACTGACTCCTTAGATACCTCAGATAGGGTTATAACTGAATTATTTATTCATAATTCCATACTGACTCTATAGATACCTCAGGTAGAGTTATACCTGAATTATCCATTCATATTTCCATACTGACTCCTTTGATACCTCAGGTAGAGTTATACCTGAATTATCCATTCATATTTCCATACTGTCTTTAGATACCTCAGGTAGAGTTATAACTCAATGATTCAATCATATTTCAAGACTGACTCTTTAGATACCTCAGGAAGGGTCAAGCTGAATTATGCATTCATATTTCCATACTGACTCCTTAGATACCTTAGGTAGAGTTATAACTCAATGATTTATTCATATTTCCATACTGACTCCCTAGATACCTCAAGTAGGGTTAAACTGAATTATTTATTCATATTTCCATACTGACTCTTTAGATACATGTACCTCAGGTAGAGTTATAACTCAATGATTCATTCATATTTCCATACTGACTCCCTAGATACCTTAGGTAGGGATATAACTAAATTATGCATTGGGATTTCCAGACTGACTCCTTAGATACCTTAGGTAGAGTTATAACTGAATTATTCATTCATATTTCCATACTGACTCCTTAGGTACCTCAGGTAGGGATATAACTGAATTATGCATTCATATTTCCATACTGACTCCTTAGATACCTCAAGTAGGGTTAAACTGAATTATTTATTCATATTTCCATACTGACTCCTTAGATACCTCAGGTAGAGTTATAACTGAATTATGCATTCATATTTCCATACTGACTCCTTAGATACCTTAGGTAGAGTTATAACTCAATGATTTATTCATATTTCCATACTGACTCCTTAGATACCTTAGGTAGAGTTATAACTGAATTATTCATTCATATTTCCAGACTGACTCCTTAGATACCTCAAGTAGAGTTAAACTGAATTATTTATTCATTATTCCATACTGACTCCTTAGATACCTTAGGTAGAGTTATAACTCAATGATTTATTCATATTTCCATACTGACTCCCTAGATACCTCAGGTAGGGATATAACTAAATTATGCATTGGGATTTCCAGACTGACTCCTTAGATACCTCAAGTAGAGTTAAACTGAATTATTTATTCATTATTCCATACTGACTCCTTAGATACCTCAGGTAGAGTTATAACTGA